TAGTGAGGTGCGGTGTCCTATACAACCACTTTTTCCTTGAATAATGTCTTGGTTTGCCGGTACGGTTGGGTAATGGGAAGAAATTTCCGACGACAATCGAACCAAGACGTCTTCCTAGTATGCTTCAGCTGAAATGTGCTTGTGCTTCCCATACAATAAAGACACGCTAGTCTTCCATGCGTTGTCCAACCTGATAACATCCCATATGCAGGAAAGTCACTGATAGTCCACAGAAGAACGACTCTCATTGTAAAGTTGGTTCTCGTTGAACAATCATACGTTTCCACCTCTGTTGACCACAATTCCTTCAGTTCTTCTATCAGAGGTTGTAGGAAAACACCGAGTGACCGCTTTGGATGCTTAGGCCTAGGTATCAATATACTCATGAAATAGGAATTCCCTTTCCACACACATCTCTGGTGAAAGATTGTATGGCGTCAAGATGACTGGCTAAAGTGAGTGTTGTCTTCCAGACATTTCGAAAGGACAAAATCCATCTGTGCATAATCCAAGATAAACATTGTGAGTGTTGCTTGCAAAATCTTTGTGAACCGAATTCAAGTGTTTCCACACTTTTGAATCTGAGGTATGATTGATCTCGCCTTCCTTCTGAGTATGTTCTGCATGCCATCTAATCGCTGCTACAGTCTTTTCAGATTGATATAATCTCTTCAGCCTATCAGTAATAGGTAAGTACAACATCCGCTGGTACGCTATCCTATCTCATCCACGTCCTTGTGGTTTATATCGTGGTTTCTCACAAAATCGAACTGCAACAACTCTGCATCTTCCCTCCAGAAGATCATACAGTTACCTTTACACACATCTATCATCTTCAAAGGTAAGCTAAGACTACGAACCAGTTTCTGAATCTCATAGTAAGATATGTTACACATTATCTTCAGGCAAATACTTTTTAAACAACTCAGTCTATGCATCCATACAAACTTCGGCTAAGTTATAGTTAGTTTTGATATTCATCATCCTAGTTGCCAATGATAATTTAGAAATACCTTTTCTACAACCTTCATAAATTGGCTGATTTGCGGCAGTTAACATGTCATAATCTTTTGGCTTCTAATAGGTCCCTCTACATTTTCTACTGTTGTCTCTATATTTTCTGCTATTTCTGCAGCAATTATTGAGTTTGTTTCAGAAAATGCACCAGTAACCATATCATACGTCCTATCATGATCTACCACCTGATTGTCCTGAAGGTAACTTTCCGAAAGCAGATGTTGTTCTCTATTACAAACATTTTTAAAGTGATTACTACTACTAGCTTCATTTCTACTATCACCTTCTCCATGATGAAATCAAATGTAGTAATGTGTAAATCATCTATTCACTATATGTTTCCAAACTGTTTCACTAAGAGCGAATTTGGTATTCTTGCATTTACAACATGGACATAACCTTTTACTTGGTTCCTGTGTGAGAGACGTGTTTTCTGTCTGGTACATGAATATTCATGCCCTGTTGAGGAACTTGTTTGTCACCCTCCCCTCAGAATCTTTATGTGCATACATCCAACTCCAAAGCTCAAAAATATCTCGTGACATTTTTTTACTCAAACTTGTTTCGTTTCTTTTTTTTTTTTTTTTTTTGACATCACTTGTTTCGTTTCTTTTTTTTTGTGTATCTAAAAAATAAGAGATGAGACCATATCTATAGGAAACTTTTAGGATCAAGGTTTTATTTTTTTCTATATTAAAATATAATGATTATAAGACCATATGAAGAAATAATTTTATTTTAATAGTAACTATGTTAATATATATATATATATATATATATATTTCATATAGTTTAAATTAAACTATACAACGTATGAAAATACATACTTATATTTTGATATTTGCATTGAACATATATTAAAAAGTTAATATTTTAATTTTGAAATATGTCATTGTTTTTTAAAATGATTATAAATTATTGAAACTACTAAACATCTCACATTAAAAATAATTCGTTGGTGTAAAGTTTTGTTACACAGATATGCAAATAATCATAAAATCATATGAGTAGAAACCTTATTGAATAAATATCCATATTAAAAATATGCTATATTACTATGTTATATCATTTAAATTTAATTGTATATTATATATAAGATTGATTGATTTGATTTATTTACCCTAATTGCAAATAAACAAGAATGATAATTAAATTTATACGTATACGCCAACTTATTACATAATAGTAACTGATTTCTTAGTTATTTAATATATGTATTTATTATTTTATAATTTTATAATATGCAGAAAAATATAAAATAAATAATAAATATAAAATACTTATTGTGCATAAAGTGCAGATCTTAACCTAAGTATGTATCTCTTTAATTATTTTAAATCTTAAGTATTTTCTAAATCTCAAGTCAAAACAAACAAACAAAATGAAAATAAACTTCAAAATCAATATTTATATAGAGTAATAACCAAAATAAAATAAACACAACAAGAGAAAAAATTGAAGATAAATAGGATTGACACGTGAACGTAAACTTCTCATAACCATAATTAATTTTTAAATTGTTAAATCATGATATAAAATTGAGTTAATTTTTAATTTTTTGATTTTTTAGTTTTTAAATCCTTATGGTTATGTTAAATCATGACCATAGCTAATTTAAATTTTTAATTTTTATTTGAAAACTTAAAACATTCTTTTTAAAAATACTTTTATTTTAAAAATAATTTAAAATTTAACTTAATTTTTTATAAAATTATTTTTTTAAAAAGAAAATAATTTTTAAAAATATAATGTCTAATATTAGTAAACAAATAAATAAATTATATTAAATTAGTTTTTCAAACTTTATATATTCTAAGTGCAAATATTTTACTAATTGCTTCTTAAGAAATCATTACGGAACTTGCTTACACTCTACTAATCAAGTCTAGTGACACTCCGTTTATTTTCCATTACTCGAACACTAAAAATATATCTAAAATCAGGTCCATTAAATTCTAAGCATTGATCTACAGTTTTAATTACAATTGTTTCTGATCCTACATATATATAATTATATAAATATTTCAAAGTTCTAAAATTTCAAATACATAGAAAACCAATTATATGTAAATTTAAATTTATCAATACTAAAATTTTATATTTTAATTATACATTTATTATGCGCAAAGCGCGTTTGCGCATGTGTTATCCTAGTTGTATAGATAAACAGTAGTGTAACAATAGCAGCTACATCGACCTTCTGTGGCCCAAACTTATAACATTAAGCCGTTTATATTAATAGTTCATGGTTTCTTACAATTTCATATGTATATAATATATGATTGCATTATATAAATATATATAATATTTTCCGACATATATCTGATATTTAACAGCCAAAATGAATATATACTACGAATTATGAGAAACAAAGAAAATTTAGATTAAAAATTTATAGTAAATAGTTGATACCAAAATCGAAATTAACTAGAATATATCGACAAAAATTATGAAATGGTTATAATATTTTATATCTATCCAACAGAGGGTATATAAAAGTAAGTTAACTAAAAAATTATGAAATGGTTATAATATTTTATATTCTATATTTTATATAAAGTAATTTAACTAAATTTTAATCGCACGCCGATGATTTCAATTAATTAGTACAGTCGACCCCTTTAATTCACATGGTATTACATATTGCCATTTGCCTATACGTTGCGAGTTAGGACGTAAGGATAAGATAACCTATTTTGAAATACCATATACTATTAAAATATCTTTGTATTAAATTGATTTTGTGTCACAGTGTTACTGATGATGTCTCGAAGCTTTCAACAATTAAATTAGAACACAGATGGTTTTAGAATTGTGTCATATCCAAACAATCACCTCTAAACTAAATAAATACTCCCTATTTTTCATTATAAGTATTATTTTAAATTGTACACACGAATTAAGAAAATAATTAATTTTACATATTTCCTATCTAAACACATAATTACCTATATATCTAACCATATTCTAATCAATAGAAAAATAAATTACATAATAAAATTAATAAATTTGGATTGAAAACTGAAAAAAATACTTATTTTGTAACGCAAAAAATCTATACAATGATATTTAATATGAAACGAAGGGAGTAGTACTAAAATCTAAAACCAAATAAAAGTTCTACCAGATAATTAATATGGCAAACAGATTTTTACAAAATATTTTCTACTACATGAAAATATAAAAAACTCTAACTTTTGCTAATTATGCAGTATTGGAATAGAATAAGTTAGAATAAAAAATTAAATATTATTCTTTAGTTATGATTCCTTCTTGTTGTCTCAAAAAATCATATTTTAATTGTTTTTGGTCGGCATTCCAGCTAATTTTAATTTGCTGTTAAAGATTAAAAAAAGGAAAGATTGTGGATTTCTGAACAAACACAAATTGTTGAGAAAGGCACACTGGAATATTAAATTAAGAAAATAATGTATTCTAATAGTCCAAATAAATAAATAAATACTAATACATGGTTCTTATCTAATCTTTGTTTTCTTAATTAATCTTCTTGCTTTTAGCAAATTAGATGTGTTAATCGCTAAAGAGTCAATGCTTTGTGGTCCCAATTTTCATTTTATTCGGCTTTGAATGATAAATTATAAATACTTATGATTCATGATTACTTCCATTTTGTAAATTATTCAAAGAGAAAAGTAGACAAACCTAAAAAAATAAAAACTTTTGTATATATTATCATATAGTATATGTGTGTTTAGATTAGCACATAAAGTGATAAACTATAGTTGTTGGCAAAGAAAAAATGATACAACATGGTTATATATATATTAAAACAAATTGCTTATAATTGAAGATATCATTAATTAGTTTGGTAGATATCAATGTGAGCTTAACCTGTGAAAAGATTACAACGAAAAACAAATAAAGTAAACTAAAATACGATACATATATACAATGATGCGGTATATATACTCCTCTCTTTTTTTTTTAGATCAAACGGTATATACACTCCTCTTTTTATCATGAAAGTGCTCATAATTCAAGGTGGCATTAGTTAGTTTGGTAGATAGCATGATACAAAGAAAAATAAACATACCAAGCCACTATTAATATGTAAGACCCTCATATCCCACAAACATAAAAAAATATATAACAGCATTAATCCCAACAAAGTCTGTTAGCACCGTGGTCAGTGGCAAACTCGATGGAGATGAGCAGGTCCATTCGCTACCCTGCCATGATGATAAAGAACTCGTACAGAAGCCCGCGACACAAAGTGATCCATGCACAGTTCGATTGTTTCCAAATGGAATTTTGTTAAACACTTCAACAAATATTTGAACTTCATCCCCTGCGTCATAACAAGTGGGTCAATATGAACAACGTTGTTTACATAACTAAAATTTACTCCTTGAACCCGAGACCAGTTGGTTTATGTGTAAAAACATAGTATTGCTAACTTGAGAAGAGTTATAACTAATAACTAAGTAGTTTTTCTTACAAAAAGATACGCACTGTACTTCTACTAAAATCAACATGCATTGCAGTGATCTCTTTTCTTCTCTTTCCTGTCCAAATATTTGTTCGAAAATGCCAAATTCAGTACAAGATATGTCATCTGTCAAGAAGTTACGCCATGGATTAATCATTAATCCGTGCATTTATAACGAAGCGTTTATAAACACTGCAAACTTGAGAAGATTAAGGACAAAATGCTAGGACCATCTAAAACCAACGTTAACGATAACTACTTAATGTTGAATCTGCTAAAGACTCGCGAGGTTTACTAAAACAAAGTAACATGGGTCATTGGAATTTTCTGGCTTGAGGATGTTCTAAGAAACTAATTTGAAATTAGCATAAAATGGATTTTGAACTCAAAAGATAATATTTCTGTAATATGTGTCCTACAATATATACTCTGCTCAATTCAAATTCTATATATTAAAAAACACTAGTGATAAATAAAACACGGAAAGAGAAAAACAACTCTTATCTGCAGGCCACCTTTGTTTTTTATAATATAATTCAAAACAAGAGAAATTCAAATTAGTATCACCCACTTTCAGTTTTTCTACTTAATATTTATTATTTATTCTCTCTTTTAATTTATTAATTTTCCCCATCGGATTCCAGCTAAAAACACGAATTTCTATATATGCCAAAAAAATATCATTTTCTCCGAAGTTAAAATATAAATTTATTGTGAGGTGTATTATAACGCTCCATTAAATACATTGCCTTTTACCAAAACAACATTTTCTTTTCGAGATTACTTAATTTATTCAATATTAAATTAAAACGGACAGACAAGGAAAAAGTTAGGAAGGAAATGAGCTGAAAGCCTGAATCAAAATATTTAAATATAAGCAAAAGTTTTTTTTAATCCTGATATTTCCATATTCAAAACAAAATATATTCATTTTTTTCATCTAAACCACACAGCATAAATAAACCTAATTTCCCCACTTTCCTCTCAAACTTTTTCCTAATTTCATCCTAATAATTATCAGTCTTTAAATTCCTAGAAACAATATTTCCTACAAGAAAATATTTTTTTTTCTCAGGTATTTCTGAATGATTTTCTTCCTCTATGATTTTTAATCTGTTCCTTTTTCAACAAAGTTATTGTTCTTATTTTGGTATTGCTTCTTTAATTTGTTGAATGCTTTAAGCTTTAGATTTGGAAAATAAAATCTTCTGTCCCAAAATCTATATTAAGTTTATCAAAATAATTAGTAACCTTCTAGATATGGAGTCTACCGGAGAAGTTGTTAGGACATCCGACGTGAGCGACGGTGGCGTTATGGTGGTGAGATCCAACGCGCCGTCGGACTTCCACATGGCTCCGAGGTCAGAAACTTCAAATCCACCTCCAACCACCGTCGCTCCTCCTCCTCCTCAAAATTCCTTTGCTCCGCCGCCAACAACTGAAGGTTTCTCCAGCGGACCCATGAAGAAGAAGCGTGGACGTCCTAGGAAGTACGGACACGACGGAGCACCGGTGGCGCTATCACCGAATCCGATATCTTCAGCCGCACCAACAACCTCTCACGTCATCGATTTTTCTGCATCTGAGAAACGTGGCAAAGTCAAACCAGCAACAACTGCGAGCTCCTTCATCAGGACAAAGTACCAAGTCGAGAATTTAGGTAATAATCTTTTATTTTTTAAAAGTTAATTTTTGTCTAGATCGTGTTACTGAATCTGAGTTCTCGTGACTTCAAAGTTAGAAATAGATTTTTTTTTTTTTTTGAGATCTCTCTGGGTCTTGGGCAAAAAGCATGCAAAGAAAAGAAAAGCTTCTACTATTTCAAGTGGGACCTCTTTAACTTAGAACACAACGACTTTTGTCCGTACATATATGGCCATCTACGTATACATATACCGTATATTATATGTGTGTTTTGTTGTTGTGGTTTGTGTTGAAGGTGAATGGGCTCCTTCCTCGGCCGGCGCTAATTTCACGCCGCATATAATTACGGTGAACGCAGGCGAGGTCAGGACAAAAAATAATATTAATATAGTATATAATTATATAAAATAGAATGGTAGTTGATGAACTGGTGGTTGGTTATAGGACGTAACGAAGAAGATAATATCGTTTTCTCAAAAGGGGTCTCTTGCTATTTGCGTTCTCTGCGCAAACGGTGTCGTTTCGAGTGTTACACTTCGTCAGCCTGACTCATCTGGTGGTACATTGACATACGAGGTATGAATGATTTCAAGAAGATAATCAGATTACGTATCCATACTTCTCTCTTTTCATGTAAGTTTTATAGATATATTGACGGTTGTTTATGTGTGTTTTTTTTTTAAAGGGTCGGTTTGAGATATTATCACTGTCGGGATCATTCATGCCAAGTGACTCGGACGGGACACGGAGCAGAACAGGTGGAATGACTGTGTCGTTGGCTAGTCCTGATGGACGTGTAGTAGGCGGTGGAGTCGCTGGCTTGTTGGTTGCAGCCACTCCTATTCAGGTGGTTGTAGGAAGTTTCTTCGCTGGAACGAACCAGCAAGATCAGAATCCGAGGAAGCAGAACCATAACTTCATGTCGTCTCCAATGCCTTCCACTTCGAATGCAGCTGATCATGGAACCATCCGTCCTACGTCGTCTTCTCACCCGATTGGTACATGGGCACCGCCTTTAGCTTCTGATCCAAGACACAAGCCCTCTCATGACATTAACATCACTTTAACCTGATTTCTTCCTCAAAAGAAGTGGTGGATCCTCTGTATTTCGGTTTAGACTCTCTCTCTCTCTCTCTCTCTCAAGGTTTAGGTTTTATGTTGGTGTGTAACTTAATTAGGATTGTTTTCCAACTTTTTTATTCGGTTTCTTCCATTCCTGGATGTAGTAGGAGTTGAATCTTGTTCCCCAATTTCTTGACCAGCTTACACGCTTTTGTTTACATAGCCGTAGACAATTTTATTAGTACTGGACTTAATTCACCACAAAAAAAACATTTCAAAAGTAGAAAATTGGGACTTTTATAAAAATTATGTTTCCACAAAATGTAGAATTTTAATAGGTATTTTCGAGATGTGGATGAGAAATGTTCTAGTGAAAACAGCCCAATCGAAACTTTTCATGTTATACCTAAAAACTAACTCAAAAATAAATGATGTCACATGACATATATATTGTTCAAAGACCATGTGTCTCTACACGATGTGAGCCTTTAATAAATCTTTTTTCACACCAACGTTAATAATCTTAAACCGAAACAATGATTTGAATCTTCCATCCAACCCGTTTCTTAAACTATGCACAGTAAAATGTGTGGCGGTATAAACATATATCAGCAATTACATATCGTGATAGACTATTTAGTGAGATTTTCAGAATTATAGAACTTGAAAGTTATGCTGCACAAAAAAGAGAAATGTACTTGGTATTAGATTAATCTTTTGTCATATACACTCGGATTGTACGATCCTAAAACATAAATATTAACAATTCTTTTTTTGTTTCTAAAAATTATCATTTAAAGTACAAATTTAATTTAATTTTGGGAAAATCTCCAAAATAACACATTTTTAAGTTTATGTCACAAAAATAGCTTTCAAAAACTAAAATGACCAAAATAACATTTTATCTTTTGGAAATTTTTAAATTTTTTATTTTTCAAAAATTGAAATCTTATCCCCAAAACCTAACTACTCAACTCTAAACCCTAAAACCTAAATTCTAAACTGTAAACCCTAAAACCCACCCCTTAACTTTAAACTCTAATGTCTAAATTAATTTATCATTGGGATATAGGTGTATACTCGTTTGATAAAATATTAAGTACTATTTTTGTCATTTTTATTCTTAAATGCTATATTTGTAACAAAAAAACTTTTTAATGCTATTCTAGTCATTTTCTCTTTAATTTTAGATAAAACAGTAAAACAAAATTATTTATACAGTTTTGAAAAGTTAAAATTTACTTTAATATCTGAAAACATGAAACAACAAAATACTAGGACCAATTAATGGATTTTGGTTTGATCCGGTACCAGAAGTACATATCAAGTGACATGACACTTGTTCTTAAACAGATCACACCACGTCATCAGTCCAACTATTCGCCAGATCAGTTATACAACAGATAAAATCCAGCAAAACAACGACGACACTCTCTTCTTCTCTCTGAATCTCACGTCAACAAGGAGAAACGAGCTTTCTCATATCTAACAATGATCCTTTACGCAACGGTGGAAGAGGCGTACGTCGACGGTGTTAGGCAGAAATCTAACGACCCTCGAGACAGTTTGGTTCGAATACTCCGCCACAAAGTCAGATTACTACCTATACTGCTAGTCTACCACAATATTCTTTCCTCTTCCTCATCGTCTCCCTCGTCCCTTTCCTATTCTGGCTGCTTCGACCGGTACAAGAATCAGCCTAAAGTCAAGGATCTCCTTCTCCGACATGTTCCATTGTTACAGAGACGTCATGAAGATGTTCGCTTGGCCCTTTATAACTCGTGTCTTATCCTTCCGTCCAGGTAATAAAGCTACCATTGTAGGCTGGTGGGTGTGCTAGAATCTTGAAGCTGGATCTGCTGTTGTGTAATGAAGACAGTTCTGTTTTTTTTTTTAATTACAGATGATTGAGATTCGAAGTGGTTTGTCATTACCATCTTTGATGGAGATTGTAGCACTGTTAGGGGTTTACTTCTTGGTAGATGATTACACAAACTATTGGGTGGTTATGAGAAGATTCTTCATCAGTATGCTGCTCCTTATGCGCATTGGGCTGAGGTCTTACTTCATGGGATTCCAAGGCCCTTGCTCCTGGAGACATGATTAACTTCTGGTTGTGGATTGTTTTACGCCAGATCGAAGCTATCGAAACTCACAGCGCGCAAGCGTGGGAACATTCTTGAAATGATAAACATATCTTTTTGATATAACGTTTGGAGTAATTGTACAATATGATGTTTACTTTGCAGATATGATTTCTATGGACTCTTGACGATATAAATTTCCGTTATACGCTGGAGCTGAGTATCATTACTTTGGAAGACAAAGCCAGAGCAATTTTGCTTCAGTTTTCGCTTACTGCGATTACATCTATGGAACTGGCAATGTGAGTATTGTAATTTCGATTTCTTTCTGGTTAGTACCTATCAATTGTGGATGAAAACTTGTGTTATTCTTACTTTCTATCGGGGTTACCGATTTCTTTCTGATTTTCTTAAAGGTGATAAAAGCAGATGCAGGTTACGTACCATAAGATAAGCTATAAGCACATTCTAAGTTAAGGCTCACAAAAGGGTAATTTAGTTTTTCAATTCGTACTTGTTCTTTTTTTTTCATTCTTGGACTTGTATTTTCAATCCATTATCCATGATTTGAAACTCTAGGATTATCCATAGATTTTAGCGTAAAAGGGCGTTCTACATTTGGGTAGAGAAATGTCGATTTAGGACAGTTCAGTGGAGTTTAAGATTAGTAAACTATTTAAGATTGTAGTTACATGAAACTTCAATCAATAGCCCGTCTAGCTCAGTTGGTAGAGCGCAAGGCTCTTAACCTTGTGGTCGTGGGTTCGAGCCCCACGGTGGGCGTTTCCTATTAAAGTTTTATGAGAGTCAATAGGTTAATTTTTTTAAACCTATATTACTCACGTTTGTAACGCATAAATAAGGCTATGCAATCTCTGTTGTAAGGCATTGTATCCATCTCATCGTCAATTAAATCATCCATCCTATCTCTCTTATTGTTTCTTTGGCTTTGATTTTGGATTACATAAACATTTTATATAAGATAGTCCATCTGAGTGTCAGTACCTGGAACACACATCGCTAAAAAGGAGAGCGTAGATTATATCTCGATCTTGGCATAGAGAATCATTGTAGAATATATAAGTTGTTTTGAGCAGTGACATTATAGAAGGAATAGAAGAGAGGAGAAAGAGACGGTTCTTCGTTCGAGCACTGTTGTTGTACTTGTGCAGAGACAAGAGAATGGTCGAGCAAAATAAGTAAAAACACTAGATAAGACTCATTGTTTTAAGATTGCCTGAGTGATATCATACATGCGTGCTATTCCCCTTATGATCAGGTGTGTTTTAAGATTGCCTGAGTGATTAGATGATAATATCTTGGACTTTTTTTTGCTAGAACTTGGGGTGATGATTGGTAAATGTTTTAGAAGTGTTGTAGTGTTTTAGAAATGTTGTAGATTTTTACATCAAAATTATTTTCTAAAAAATATAAATGAGTTACAACTTTATAATTTCCATTAGAGTCTAGTAGTTATTTAAAACTAAATTTTACATTTATGAAAATTAGATATTCCATTTTAAAACTATTTTTTTTGGAGTACACCTTTTTAAGTTAAAAGGAATGTAAAATTATATTCAGGTGAGATAAACAATATAAATTAATGTTTAAGCCTACTAATTATATCTCATCTTATCGATCTATACTATTAAATTAGAAGGTTTTATTTTAGGTACTTTTCTGTTTTGCTATATTTACATACCACTGCCATTATCTTTAACTATAACTAAAGGGGCCATTATCTTTAACTATAACTAAAGGGCAGGTATATTTTTGAGTGAGTTACCATAAAAGACACATTTGTCTTTTTTCTTTCCCAAAAGAACACATTGTGTTTATAACACACAATTTATGAAACCAAAGGCATTTTTAACCATTATACCCATTAACTTCATGTGTAGTTAGCCAAAAAAAAAAACTAGTTGTTTTCTTCTTATTAGTTAAGTTAGGAAAATAATTAGGTTATTAATGTTTTTTCAAACTGGGATGTTTTTTTCTTTCTCTCGTATGTTTCACTATTCATCTTCTTTGTGAGTCTTCTTGCCTTTAACTGCAACTTAGTGCCTTCTCTTCCATCGCCAGCCACTGTACTCCTACCAACAGGTCTCAACCACAATCCTCCTCAGTTGCGTATGCTTTGTATTCTCCATCATTCACTTGTTTCGAGCTCTCTTTCCTCCGCTGAAGCTCGTCGCATCTATTTCGGGCCACAAGACCATCACCGTTGTTTTTCTCTGCCACGGTGTCATGCTCGAATTAAAGCCTCATCGTGCTCATCATCGTCGTCTCTGTCTCGTCACACAAGAGATCGAGCAACAATGGTAGATTTTGATTATTTTCAGATCTGGTTCTTCACTTTTTGATTCCTTTTGATTGGACTTCGTGGACAAATGTTATGTGGTCATGTAAATTGTGGACATACACAATTATGAACACTGTTTTGTGGATAAGGATGTCTTTCTAAATTTAAACGTGGAGGTCAACTACAGTACATCGAATGAACCATAAATAAAATTTTACAAACAATATTTACAGATGAGATGTGTTTGGTGATATGTAGAGAATGAGTCTGTGGTTCCAGAGGTAAATAGGAATTCGTTGAGGACAAGATAATGTGGATGGGCGATGTGTGGATGAGAGATGCATGTACGGGAGACGCGTGGACGTGAGATGCGTGGACGGGAGACATTGCTTCCATTGCGGTTGTTACCGCCATCTCCAGCTCCTTATCATCTACCTTCACGTCCTCCACCTCCACCGTATCCACCACCACCGTGTACACCACCATCTCCTCCACTCAAGTAGTCACCTCTACTAACCACCACCATTGTATCCACACTCACATCTTCCACCTTCGTCTCCATAACCACCACCGCCTCCAGTGCAGTATCCACCACTTTCTCCACCGTATCCACCTCCACCATATCCACCACCACCGTGTACACCACCATCTCCTCCACTCGAGTTATCACCTCCACTAACCACCACCCTTGTATCCACACTCACGTCTTCCACCATCGTTTTCTCCACCGTATCCACCACTTTCTCCACCATATCCACCACTACTGTATCCACCACCATCTCCTCCCACTCAATAGCCACCTCTATCAACCACGACCATTGTATCCACACTCATGTTTTCCACCACTGCCTCCATAACCACCACCGTCTCCATTGC